TTGATATTCTAATAACAAGTAATAACAAGTGGAGTCTAATAAAGAAAAAACTGATATTGTTTAACCAGGGTATATTTTCATAAATCTTTTGTTGAATACAAATAAAAAGTAAAGAAATACATCRATTGCCTAACTTCAAAAGTTTACTGCATAAGGTTAGTTAGTGTCCACTACTGTTTCTACTTTTTCTGCTTTTTCATTTCTTCTTTATTATGCTCAGCCACAGCTTCTTTGACCACCGAGCAAATTTGTTCATTGCTCGCTCCTCGTGGATTGACAAACCAATCAGTAGCGTTACYTCGGCTACTATCCTTCGCCAAACCAAGTTTCTCTTTGGCAGCCTTCTGTGCTGCAGTCTCGGCCCTGTTACTTTCAAGKGCTTCATAGGAATTCAAAAGCATAATCTCGTTTGGATTCAACTGTTGTTTAATAACTTGTTTCAAACGTTCTTTTGGATCCTTGGAGTGTCCAATCTTGAATTTTTTATCAGTAACATCCTTCATTACGTACACTTTTCCGGCACCAAACCATGGACCAGCTCCTCCTCCCTTTTGGATTTGAAATGCCATCTTCTAAACTGACTTGAGTTCGCTGTGGTGATCATAAAATCAGACGAAAGGTACAACGTCCTTGTATCTGCAGAACTGATCTGAACCCAAGCTACTCGGTTGAATATTCTGCGTTTTTGCGATGGCGCTGCAAAACATCGTCAGTTAAATAGTTGAGTTCCTGAGGAAGCGCTTTCGAGTGATTTCATTGGCTGGCGTCTTCAGCACCCGACTAGTAATCAATGACGCCCGTACTTAACTAACGACTTTTGCGCGCTAAAATGTTAATCAATCAACCGTCATGCACAAGTGCGCAAACATTTCTATACCACAAGTTTCTTGAATAATCGCCTCGTGGAATTTTAAATTTATATCTATACTAACCACTCAATGAAGCAGTCTTAACCTAATCAGCCCGTTAAGGCTTTTTTACCTAGCATCGATAAACGAAAATAAAACATAATACAAGATACTAAGAAATTTTTAAGAACTTGAATGAAATTTTATGTATTGAGTCGGGTTGTTCTCTTTACTATACCTAATAACTGTCTTCATATCAA